TATTCAGCTAAAAAAAAATCAGACAAAAACATCACAGATTGCTGAGTAAAATTCCATTGTGTATTTAGAAAATAATGCTAAGTGAAGTTAGCCAATTGCAAACAAACAAACAAACAAACAAAAAAAAAAAAACCCCACAAATGCCGAATGTTTTCTCTCATATAAGGAGGCTGACTCATAGTGGGGTAGAGAGGGGGGCATGGAAGGAATAGACGGACTCTAGATAGGGCAGAGGGGAGGGAGGGGAGGAGACAGGGGATTAGCAAGAATGGTGGAATGTTATGGACATCATCATCCAAAGTCCACATATGAAGACACAAATTGGTGTCAACATACTTTTTCTATATGTGAAAAATTGTGCTGTATATGTGTAATGAGAATTGTAATGCATTCCAGTGTCATGTATTTAAAAAAATCGATAAATTTTTTAAAATCACATATTGTATACTCCACTCTTATGAAGTATGCATAATATGGAAACCCAAGAGTCACAGAGCAGAAGTTAGTGACCAGCGCCTGGGAGGGCAGGAGAGTAACTGTCTGCCTGAGGGAGACCTGGTTTCCATTGGTGGTTATTAAAAGCTGTGCAACAAGGAAAGTTTGTAATAACATTGCACCATTACAAATATCACTAGATCCAATTTTCAAATGGACACTATTAGGAGAAATGAATCTCATTTAAAAACAAAACCCCCCAAAAACCTGAAAATGCTGGGATTCTGCTCAATGATGGCGGGTATAAACTCTGGTGACAGGAAGGCATTGTGGCACTGCAGACCCCAACTGTACTCTGGACCACCTACTCAGAGTTGTTAGAAATACCTGCTTCCAGGAACTGAGAACCTGCCGAGTCAGGTGTGGCTCTAGCTTCTTCCTAAACCTTGATCCTAATTTTCCCAGTGGTCTTGGGTCCTATAGGAGGAATCCTGACTTTATGGAGAACAAACAAGGGTTGGAAACCAAACTGACTGTCCCAGGGTTACCCACCATGCAGACCACGGTTCTGATGGATTGATCAGTCTGAAAATAAACTCCAGTCTGTGGTCATTTCTGGTCAGAGGAGGAGGGAAAAAGAGGAATCATCAAGGGGCTCCAGGAACCTTTGAGACTGAATTAGTCTCCACGTCCTCATTGTGGTGATGGTTCTGTGGGTGTATGTATGTAAAAAGCTGTTCATTAAATATGTGTGATTTATTCTTATCAGTTTCACCTGAATAAAATTATTTTTTAAATGAGTAAAAGATATTAAAAGACAATTCAACAAAAGGCAGACAGCAACTATGCCTAAGGAAATATGGCAGACACCACACATCATTGTGGAATTGTAAGAAAAATCAATTAATTTGAAAAGAAACAGAAAATTGACAAACAAAAGGTTGGGGACAGAAGCATAAACAGGCAAGCGAAACTTCATCAAACCAAAAGCTTCTTCACATCAAGTAAGGCAAGAACAGAGTAAAGGATCCAACTGACAATGAGAGAAGTTACCTGCACATCACCTGAGAAGCCTACAGTGTCTCAATACAGAGGTCATCCCTGGAACTCTAACAAAACCCGGGGGAAAAACCCCTAAAGGAGCTGGGCACAGTGGCACACACCTAGAATCCCTGTGGTTCAGGAGGCTACGTGGGGAGGATCACAAGTTGGAGGCCAGCCTCAGCAAGTTAGCAAGACCCTAAGCAACTCAGTGAGACCCTGTCTCTAAATAAAATTAAAAAAAGACCTGGGGATGTGGCTCAGTGCTTAAGTGCCCTGAGTTCAATCCCTAGTAGAAAAGATCAGAAAAACTTAAAATTCTACATTTGGTAAATTCATCATTTTGATCCAATATGCCTAGGTTAGTGTGTTTATTTTTCTGATTACACTCTGCTTTATTCTAAGGCCAACTTACAAGGGTTAACTCTCAATCAAACATATGAGCTCATAAATTAAAAAAATTAAAAATGGATCCAAATACCTTTGGTTAATATGATTTTAAAGATTCAAATTAAATTGGAAAAATTAATAAAAGTACAAATGTCTTTAAAGTTTTGTTTCTAAATGATTGAACAGCTGTTAAAATGTTAATATGTATAAAGTGTCTGACATCCATTGTCTCTAGGATTTTTATTTAACAGGAAAAAAAGATTACTAATGCTATTCAGTGCACTTGTCTGATACCTTTTAAAAAAAAAAAATTTCTAAATCACACCTAAATGTATATGAAATTAATCATGGATGTGTTTGTTAGAGACATCTAATTGGTTTACAAAGTTAAAATGCTGTTAAATATAATATCAAGTACTATTAACTCCTTAAATTCCATAAAGTAAAATACTTAAAGAATGTTGGTGCTTTCATAAATTGGTAAATTAAAAAATAAAATTATTTTGTGTTATCATAAAAACAAGGTTACTATAAAAACAAGGTTACTATAAATTAAAGGTCCCAACAGGTATAATTCTACATACAAGGAGTCAAGAGGTTAACTGCATTTCAATTAAAATACTGTAAATAACAAAAATATTTCATCTTATTAAAATGGATTAATTTATCTAAATTTAGAAATTTGTAATGGTTATTTCAAGGTACAAACTAAAAGAAGGATCAGTGGATTTAAAATGATTAAAAGGTTCTGAATATAAAAATATTTAGTAAAAAAAAAGTTTCCAGGTAAAAAATATTTATGTGGTAAAGTATGATTATAATATATCTAAGTAAATAATAAAAGGGTCTAATTAAATAATATAAAGATCTACAAATAAGAGATAAATATTAAAAGGGTTATATGTAACTAAGCTGGTTACATATGTAATACAAAATATTCAAGGTTGTTCCATAAGGACAAATATTAATGTTCTGATATATTTATATGTTCAAATGACAAAAACTTCTAAAAATATAAATTACATTGTGTCTGTTAAGTTTTATCCCCTAGAGCAAGTAATCCTGGAAAAATTAAGGTTTGTACATCTGTAGCTAAACAACAACTGTTATTTTAAAGTATTGTCCTACATTACAGAGTCTAGATTTTCCTTTAAAAGCTAACCTTGGTTAATATAAAAACATCAATAAAAGTGGTACAATACTCTTCTCTACAGATTAAAGGGTGTTCATATCTTTCAGGTATAAAAGTCTTTAAGGTAAAAGGTTTAAAGGAACATTTTATCAAGCTGGTGTTCTCCAAACTAAAATTGTCTGTAATGGTAATTTAAACTTATAAGGATAATATAAATAAATCCCCAATAGAATCTACTATTTGATGCTTTGTAACCAAATCTTATGTTACCTTTTACACTAAGATATAGAAATTTAAAAGGTATCTTAAAACATAATGAAAGCCTGATCTGTTTAGAGGTTAATATTGTAAAACATTTTTGCCACTTTTCCACATGAAAGAGCACTCAGCCTTCCCTTAATTAATGTTTCAGATATATATCATATTGTGCTAGCTGACTTTCATACAGACTGGGGGAAAAATATATGTAAACTTTATAAAATGATATCTAAAAAGAGAGACAAAGATCAGCTTCAGAACTACGAGACTTTGCCTAGGATTTGTGAAGAGCCCTGCCTTACCCGAGATAAGGCTCAGCCTCCCACCTACAACTCATCAGAATGACTTCAAGATAGGCCAGACTTCAGTTATTTAATGTTCAAAAATTGATTTTATCATAAAGATGACTGTGATCTCAAATAGAAATATAAGTTATAACTCAGCCAAGGTTCAAAGTTATAGACAAGCTAAATATGTCCTTACTATTGTTAATGTCACTGTGTATTTTCATTACAACTGAAAGGAAAGTGACCAGGACACTAGCAACCAAAAAACCTTTATTGTGGCAATGCCTGATTAACAGGAAGAGCATGAGAGCCCAAGAAAGAGCAAGAGAGGAGGACCTGGCAAGAGAGAGTTTTTATAGCCAAAATCTAATGGGCTCTCTGAGTCTGCAAGCTGCCTTGTTGGTGAACAGTGATTGTGTCACACAGTAGTTGCTAAGGTGTCATCTTCTGCCTTCAGGCAGACAGGACAGGGGCCAGATGTGGATTTCTATTGCACCAGATGGGTGGGGGTCGAGTGTTCAGCCTTCAGACAAACAAGCAAAGCTCACATTTGTTCAGCCTGCTCCACAAATAACAATAACTGCTGCCTGTTAAGGCTGTACAGAGGTAATACTTCATGAACACATAGCCGAAGTTAATTTGAGATATTAAGCCATCATCTGTAGACAGATCAGAATTAAAAGGGACTAAATTAACTGCAGAAGGGGCTGGGGTCATGGATCAGCAGTAGGATGCCTGCCTTGCATGTGGGAGGCACTGGATTCCATCCTCAGCATCACATAAGTTGATGGATAAGATAAAGGTATTGTGTTATGTACAACTTAAATAACAACAAAAAAATTAACTGTAAAGTTATAAACATTAACGCTAAAGCCCAATATTCTTAGTTTAAGACTGACTTGCTTGATGTTTAAATCCAAGGGTTAAATAATTAGGTTAAAATAAAGGGGCCAAAAAAATCAATATTTGGCTCTTGCCCTCTGAGTCAGCCTTAACCCAGGACAGGGGGAAAGCTTTACAACTCCGGGCCACATGACCTCCCAATAAGGGAGATTAATGAGACCCCTGGGGAATGAAAAGCCAATCAGTGTGCATGCTGCAAAAGAGGAGAGTCATTAAAAAGGGGAGACATGCCTGATGCTTCCAAGGGGAGCCACATGGTCAGTAAGACCTTGACCCATCCTAACGCAGATGACACTAGCAGAGTCATCTGCTAATGTTGTGTCTACATTCCTGATAATTCCGACAATGTTAAAGATTTATGTTCCCTAAAAAAGGGCCTCATTAGGCTTTGATAGGCCTTGCTATGGGGACAATTTCTCAGGTCTTCTGCCTCCTGGTAAGCAATTATTAATTTCTGTCATTTTCATGATATTCATGGACAGGTTCCAGATGTTACAACTGCTATTTTGTATTAATCTTGTTTCAATACTCATGTCTTTTTGTTTCTCTCATAGAGGTGCCCACCCCAGGTGAATTTACATCCCGGTCTTCCTGAACCAGATTTCTACCATGGACTCCTTTGTTAGAGTCTGTAAACAAGTCAGGATGGCGCCTGGCATTTTGCCAGAGAAATGTTAGAATCTGTAAACAAGTCTGGATGGCGCCTGGCAAAATGCCAGAGGGAGTGGTTTGTGAAGTAACACCAGCGAGCCATTAAGTGTGGAGATTCCTTATTGGTTGACTGATGTATCTAGTTTATGCTAATTAGATAAGCTGTGTGGAATGTATAAATACTGCTCCTGTCCTGCAATAAACGGCTCTCTCTCCTGCTGTATCAACGTACACAAGTTGTTCATCACCCCCACAGTTATTTTGCTGCAGCCGGACTGCAGCACTCCTTGACCCACTCAGTTTCTAAAAAGAGACTCCAAACTGCTTGTCCACTGCACATTGCCAGCTTGAAGCAATAACAATCATCACCCTTTTCCTAACCAGAAGGTCCCTAACATTAGAGAAAATATTATATTCAGTATAGATGTTCATCAATATGTCTGGCTCAGGAAGATGTACCTAGAATACTACTCTCCAGATCACCCTGGGTGACCTCCCAGAAAGAGAAACTTGCTTCCACAACCCAACTTATAAGTGGGACAACTCCGCATTCACCAAAAATTGTACTTCCTGGGTCCCACTTCAAACTCCTTGCCTAAGTCTCCAAACTGTCAATAACTCTGAACTATGGAACCTACTCTTTTAATGGAGTAAAAAGAAAGGAACCCTGTACTTATTAGAAGACCAGGGCCCACTGATTTATCAACATAGATGGGCTGCCCCCATTTGAGTTCCCCTCCTGGCTGGTTTGGGAATAGCTGAATCTACTTATCTGGAAACTGCAGCTCTGATCACAGGTTCTAAAAATGTTAAGTCCCTCAGCCATCAAATAGATACAGATTTAGGAAAATGAAAAACATCAGTCTCCAAACTAGAGGTTTCACTAGACTCTGACAAAAATAGTCTTACAAAACAGATGAGGTCTAGTGTCTCTTTCTAAAACAAGGAGGACTTTGTATGGCCCTAGGAGAAACTTGTTTCTATGCAAACCATTCTGGGATAATAAAAGACAGTTTGGCACTAGTAAGAAATAGGTTAAAGGAAAGAAAGAAAGCACAAGACACTTCAGGCAATTGGTTCCAAAACCTACTCTCAAGGTCCCCTTGGTTAACTACCATCATTTCAGTCATAGTTGGGCCCCTAGTCCTTCTCCTGATTGGTATTCCTGTAGGACCCTGCCTCTTAAAAACCCTCCTAAACCATATACACAAGAATGTAGGTGAGGTGCGACTTATGGGCTTGGGAGCCCAGAGTGGTCCCTTAGACACAGAAGGATGGAAAAGAAACTGAGGCCTAATGATGTGCAAGATTGACATCAAACCTACTAATGTGATAGTAAAAGTAAATGTGACTCCATTCTGTAAAACAACCAGGCCAAGTTCAAGGGTCATGACTGGGGCAATATGTTCTTTTCCTCTTCCTATAGAAACCTTTAAGAACATGGAACTACCTAATGAGGCATTGTTACAGTAACTAGGGTAAGGGGGCTCTGTTTCTGTAATGGGGTGACTGGGCTAACTGTGATTGGTTAGGCTTCCCGCCACCGGACTGCACTCTCCCACTTCTGTGACCTGGCTTGCTTGCATTGGCTAGACCCCCGAAAATCCCTTTTGCGGTTTTCAGGATTATAAGGAGCGCCCTTGCAATTGCCGGGGGCTGATCAGGGGCACAGCTTTATGTTCTGGTCAGGCGCCACCGGTGTGCTTCAATAAAGGCTTGATTTGATTATATGTGAGTGGTCTGGAAGTCAGTTTATGAAACCCAAGGATGAAGCTTTAACTATAACACAACAACAGAATAATGCACTTTCCAGAATGTCCTCCTCCCCACACGTCAGCGACCTCCCCTGTTAGCACCTGCCTGGGCGTCCCCACATCTCACAGTCTGCAACCAGAAAACCCAGCTCCAGCTGCTGCCCTTCCTGGGCCAGCTTCCTCCCTAAGGCCTCATTTGTCTTCAGTTCCCACCACCTGCAGAGAAGGGGCCACTGAGACCATCAGAAACCTCCATGGTACCAAGTCTAATGCTCCATCCTTGTCACCCTCTAGTTCACTTCTGAGTGGGCTCAGGACAACAGGCCTCGACTTTCCCTGAAGTCCAAGTTGTTCCATCTCCCAGTTTTGCGTGAACCTTCCTGGATGCCCTTGTTCCCTGCCTCCTTCATAGACTTGCCCTCTTCTCCATGTCACTCCATAGAGGTGGGTCCCGAGCACACAGCAAGGCTCCTTGCACCTCTCTGTCTCCGTGCTCATCCCAGGTCACCCTCAGCATCATGGCAGTATTTTCCAGGATAGGGGGTCAGCCACCCCCCAGCTGGCTCCAGATGAAGATTCAGGAAGTGTCCCTGGTCTTTGGGCCCTTCCCCCACACCACTCCGTCACAAATCCCCGCTTCTTTTTTGAGACAAAATTATAAACGTGTTTGTATATATATTCACACAACCTCGTGAATATGTGTACATAACACATACATGTATAGAATATTACGTAATTGTAAATAAATATACCAGGTCCAACCACTTTTGTCCCCCTGTCACCTGGTCATGCCACCATGTTACATGTTACCTGTGCGTCTTCACAACGTCGCTGTCATCCCTGCCCAGCCACCGCCAAACCTTCCCTTAGAGACCCCTGGGCTGGACTGCCCTCTCTCCAGCCTGACAGGCGGCATCGCCCGTGTCCTGCTGCAGCGAGTCCCCAAGGTCGCCCTTGCGGGGTCGAGGCCGCTACCGTCCGCGCTTCTCCCCCTGCCTAGGGCCAGGACGCCCTGCTAGGGTCAGTGCGGGGGACCGCAGGAGCTGCCCCAGGACCAGCGGTGACAGCCGCGCCACACGCCACCCTCTCGGCCTCAAGGTCACGCCGTCTACACTGCAGGCAACAGGAGGGGTCTCCGCGACACGCCGGGACCATGGTCGCGCCCAGAAACCAGTCTCCAAGGCGACATGCCCAGGACCCTCCCAGACACCCCTGGACCCCAACCCACCTGGGCACACGGAGAGTCCACCGCGTCCATGAGGAGGGACGAAGGAGGCTGCGCAGCGGGTCCTCAACCTCCCTCTTCGGCCTCCCGTGTGAGGGGGGGAACTGCGGCCGGCGGAGGGGACTCTGGAGTCACATCTCGGCGGCGGGAGCCCAAACACACACTGCTGGCTGGGTCCACAGCGACCTCTGACGGGATTTCCAAACACACAGCCTGTCAGGCTCCTTCCCTCTTAAGGACGCGCCCGCCCCGCCCTCAGCTTCTGGTTCTCATACTGCGCTCACCTGGGAGCCCTTGATGGGGTGCGCCTCTCGCGTGGTTCCGCTGGCCCCGCTCCCCGCTGCTCCTAGGGGTGGGGCTCCACTCAGCCCCGCTCGGCTCCGCCCCCAGCTCCACCCATTCGCTGGGCTTCACTTGGTCCCGCTTGGCTCCGCCTCTCCAGCTCCGCCCATTCACTGGGCTCCCCTCGCTCTGCTGGGCCCCGCCCTCAGCACCACCCATTCGCCAGGCTCCACGCTTTCCACTCAGCTCCTCCCCCAGCTCCTCCCATTCCTCGGGTTCCACTCCCTCCCTAGGCCCCGCCCTGTCCACATCTCCTAAGGGTTGGCCTTAGCTGGATCGCTCCGCCCAGCACTTCGGCTCCTCCCACCTCCACTCGCTAAGCCTGACAGAGGAACAACAGTGCTTCTAAGTGACTTCTCAGTGACCTTTCCACACCAGAATGAAGTCAGAGAGGAGTCCCCTCCTCAAGGTCACCAGGTAGAGATGGGAGATGAGGCTGGTGGGAGCCTGCCTGTCTTCTGCTGCCAGTTTGCATCCCCAAAGCGGGGAGTGAAGCCTGCAGGCATAGCCCCCCAGGTGCTTCTTGGGTGCACGTGAGGTTTCACACAGGAAGAACCAGGGTCTAGACTCCTTGTGGCATAACAGGACTCAGGGCTGACTCTTTCTCTGGGACGAGGCTTTAGACAGCATCCAAACTTCTCATCCCACCAGCTTCGAGTGTGGCAGTCACATAGAGCAAAACTCTTGCCTGGGATTCCAGAGTCAGGTGGCCAGAGACCCACTCGACCTCACTCCTGCCTCCCATGGGCTCTAAGGAAGGCCCTCACCATCTCCTGGACACGGTTAGAAATACACGTGCTCAGGTAACACCCCAGGTGGGCTGCATCTGAACTGGGTGAGTGGTGAGCCCTGTGGGTGTGAACAAGGCCTTCTCCTGGGGATTCTGATGCCAGCAAATGCCAAAATAAGAACGTACACATACACCCGTAGGTATTTAGTGTAAAATGGCCATGCAATGGTCTCGACCTCAAGTTCATTGGAAAATCCTCTTCACCTGGTGGACATTGATGGGCTCAGAGGAGAGTACACCAGATCCTGCAAAATCATCAGGAATTTGTTTCTCCAATGTGGGGGTCAGGCAGGCTCCTTCAAGGGGAAAATGGCTTAAGGCTGCCATTTAAGATATTTTAAGGCAAAGATCAGCTGCAGAAATAAAGCATTTTACCTAAAATTTGCCATGAGCCCCACCTCCCCTGAGATAATACTCTGCCTCTCACCTTGTACCAAGTCAGGATGCCTCCAAAGTAGGCCAGAATTAAGCACAATTAATGTTACATTCCCAAAATACATTTTTTTTATTGTAAAGATTCCTGTCATGTAAAAAAAAAAAAAAAAAAAAAAAAAAAAAAGAACCAGGGATATAATATGGAACTAAGTAAAAGATTTGGATAAAATACATTTTTGGGTTCATAGCTACTATACTAACTGAACAAGTTTTACTCTTCTTAATTTCATTCTGTATTTTCTTTGTAAAACTTTGTAGCTGTTGCCTGTTTGGTGTTTTTGCAGAAACACTACATCTAAAAGAACACCTGAGTTCAGTCGAGACCATAGCCTTCAGATAGAAGATACAACCCACTTCCAGTATTAACAATGACCCCAATTAAGTTGAAGGGGTCACTATAAAATGATATGCACTGAAATGAAAACCCAGTACTCCGACTTCAAGACTGGAGAAACTGACTTGCTTGATGTTTAAAACCAAATCCTGGAGACTAAGTTAAGGAAGTAAAAGGGTCAAGGAAAAAGAAGCCAATATTTGGGTCCTGGCTCTCTGAGGTCAGCCAGGATCCAGGGAAATATGGTGCCCCTCTCAGGTCCCTACAGCACTGGTGTGAGGCACCCAAAAGCGTGTTCAGAGG